GGTCAAGGTCAGGTCAGCAACCCCAGGTCACGAAGTTTATCGAATGAGGTCAAGTCGCATATCATTCGATTCGGCAGGTTTTCCTGAGTCCATTGGTGGCTTTCCCGACTCGCTAGCTCAATTTGATCAAGAGTTATTAACGAAAAACTAATATGACCTTGATGACGTCATAAATGACGTCACGCAAGGTCAACATTGCAAAAGTGACGCATCTAACCTTGCAAGGAGTGCACCAAATCACGATTATGTGTGCTTGAGATAGTTGGAGATCGTTCCCGGCGCCAGAATAGCAGTTTTCATTTTTCCCCATTGACTTATTATAGTGACGTCACGAAGTTATTCATCTTTGTTGTCGTGCCGTCCGCCCTGGCGCTGCCGGCTCACCTAGTCTTTCGCCAAACGACCTGATTATAGCTGTTTGGCAGTTTCGAGTGTCTGCAACATTAATAGTCATCATTGTTTGCTGTTTGACGGTTGACCGGCTACTTGCTCAGGATGCGGTGTTGTATATAATCCTCGCAACCAAGGCTATGTAAACCCTCGCAACATAGGTAGCTAGATATGTGCCATAATCGCAGTCTCTAGTGATAACTTCCCACTCCCTATCGCAGTCCCTAATGTTACCCTCCCACTCCCTATCGCAGTCTCTTGTGTTAACCTCCCACTCCCTATCGTAGTCTCTAGTGTTACTTCCCACTCCCTATCGCAGTCTCTAGTGTTAACCTCCCACTCCCTATCGCAGTCTCTAGTGTTAGCCTCCCACTCCCTATCGCAGTCTCTAGTGCTAGCCTCCCATTCCCTATCGCAGTCTCTAGTGTTAACCTCCCACTCCCTATCGCAGTCTCTAGTGTTAGCCTCCCACTCCCTATCGCAGTCTCTAGTGTTAGCCTCCCACTCCCTATCGCAGTCTCGAGTGTTAGCATCCCACTCCCTATCGCAGTCTCAAGTGTTAACCTCCCACTCCCTATCGCAGTCTCTAGTGGTAACCTCCCACTCCCTATCGCAGTGTCTAGTGTTAACCTCCCACTCCCTATCGCAGTTTCTAGTGTTAACCTCCCACTCCCTATCGCAGTCTCTAGTGCTATCTCTGAACTCCCTATCGCAGTCTCTAGTGTTAACCTCCCACTCCCTATCGCAGTCTCAAGTGAGGCATGGCTACACTAGGTATGCGTTTTCTGCGTGCGCTTTTTGCGGATTTGCGTGTTTTGCGTAATATCGTTTTAGAATAATAAACGATATTACGTTTTTGTGATGTTTTTGTATCTTAAATTTAAGTTAATATAAGAGTTATATTAACTTTTGTACACAACTAATGCACAACTAATGTAAAGGCTTCATAACTTCTTTCTAGAACGATATTACGCAGAAAAACGCAAACACGCAGAAAAACGCACGCAGAAAACGCATAGTGTAGCCAGGCCTTTAGTCTCCCCCACTCCCTATCGCAGTCTTTTGTGCTATCTCTACAATCCCTATCGCAGTTTCTAGTGTTATCCTCATATTCCCTATCGCAGTCTGTAGTGCTATGCCTACACTCCCTACCGTAGTCCTTAGTATCATCTCTACAGTCTACACTCCCCATCGCAGTCTTTAGTGCTATATCGTTACACTCCCGATCGCAGTTTCTAGTGCTATCCTCACATTCCCTATCGCAGTCTCTATGTAGTGTTATCTCTACACTTCTTATCGCAGTCTCTGGTCAACCCCCGCCCCCGTCCCCGTCACCGCTGCTCTGCAATGGCGCCGGGCCCTCCTGCTCCGTGCACCGTCTCTATCAACCCAGTCAATGCTCAATTGACTCTGACGCATGGCCAGCGGTCACAGCGGCCAACCGCCGTGTGAATAAGAGCCGGTCCCGGCTGGCCAGTCTCGGGCGGCGCAGGAAATTCCTCCGATCGTGCGCCCGGCAGTCTCGATACACGGGGGTGGTGACGTCATGAATCAGCCCGAGTTTCGACACGGCAGTTACAGAGTCCAGTGCGTGATATGATATTTAGGTCGGCCGAAAGATTGTTCGATATTGTTGCACATTTTTCTTAACAATTTACCTCAGGCAAAATATTTTATTCTTAAAACATGGCAGGTACACTTCAGCAAAGGTTAACCCGCGCACCGACGGGGGTCTGCGCCAACTTCGCACCGACGGGGGGGGGGCGGATGACCGCCCCCCCCCTGAGATCTCGAGAACGAAGCAAGATAGCGACAAGCGGTAAACGGCATCGGATACGCACGGTCAAGATCTACAATTTTTACAAAGGTCATTTTCAGGTCAGGTCAAAGATGACGTCACAGGGGTCGAAAAAGTCAAAATGGCGGCGCTAGATATGGAGAGTTTTTCTCGAATAACTTTCGAATTAGTCAAGATAGGAACAAACTAAGGGCATCATCGTGATCCTCTCGTCAATCCGCATCGAATGATATATATGTTGACCTTGAAAGGTCAAGGTCAAAGGTCGACCTCAGGTCACGTGACCTCGAGGTCATCATGTATATCATTCGATGCGTCTTGACGAGCTGAACACAATGAGACCATCCGCGCGGCTGTATCTTGTTCCTGTACGGAGTTATTGGCAAAAAACCGCTGGTGACCTTTGATGACGTCACATGACCTCACAGCTGCCCAACAGCAAAACGGACCTCAATGTAGTGAAGGTTGATCGTATATGAAGTCATGTATGGTATATGGGGCCATTCCGACCCGTTTTAGTGGTAAAAACAGGGAGTTGATTTTTCCCCCATTGACTTATAATGGGGAGGTCGCGAAATTGACCTGACCTTAGGTCACCGATATCAAAATTCCGAGATATACAAATTGTAGCTACTAAGGACCTAATAATATCCTGCGACTTTCAAAGGCCTCCGACATCTACAGGGTGTCCCAGAATTACCCGGACATTTATTTTCTGGCTAAAAGTACGATTGCGCTCGATTTTAATGATATACAAGCATCATATTTTTATAAAATATCCCTTAGCTATCGAGCTTGGGGACTGTGTGCTTTTGGTGACCGGTAACGACTCGAGTCAAGTATTATCCAGAGTCAAGTAAGAGTAGTCCTTTTCCGTTTTCAGCTTAAGCCACTAATAGGCAACCATGGTGAATCAACTCCCGTTTTCAACTTTGTAAACGGACTTTCGGCATGGTTTTTGCTGGAGAGCTTCAGCAGCTCATCTGCAAGCAGTTAGGATTGAGCAAAGCGCCATTATGTCAGCTAACGAAGCCAAAGAGAGGAAGAGATAAACCTGATTGACAAGCTTGGGCTCGGCCAAAAAGGGCCATGCACCAGTTGTCAAACGGGTGGTTGCTTGTCATGGACAACAAACGTCACTGATCTAGCTAAAAACTAGCTAAACGATAGATCAGGATTATCTAAAGAACATCAGTCTACTTTCCACCACTATCTTCGCAAAATTTTGGAATTTGGGGTCCCTCGCCTGAAAAATATGCAAAAACTACGGGAAAAGCAGCGAAAATCACTACAATTCATCCCAAAAATATAACATAAAACAAAAAATTATATTGAAGCACACTTTAAGGTCTAACGAAGGTATTCTGTCATTTGAACCGTCCGAAAAAGGCGTGTGTGAACGTCAGATGGCTACAACGCCCCAACAGCAGAGACGGCCAGGCACCCGTCGAAAATCAAATTGTGAGACATTTTGAGCCACCGTGCACTCATTGGGCTTGATATGATGGCCCAAAGACAACCGTTAGCACAGAGTACTACTGCGGTAATATTTTACCAGTAAAAAAAAAAACTGGATGCCGTAAACCAAATGGCCATGAACGGGTTTGTTTTGGAAACCAAATCTGTTGGAAGCCAAAGGTCCCGCCATGTTCAGACATGGAGCTTCTCCACTTCAGATGTAAAAAACGCGGCAAAAGTGGTGTAGGTAGCAATTTTTGTTTTGGGGGATAAAGCCTTATGACCCGGGAACACTTTGATGTTAAGTTTATCTTATATGATCGTATTATCCTCCGGCAACAGGTCAAAGAAAACAGGCCTTCACCCAGTTTCGGGAGAGCCGTAAAACAACTGAGACCAGCAATGGTTGGCATTTTCAATCATTGTCGGCTGATCTTGTAACAAGCGTACCTATTGCATGTGCTATTTCACAGCCACCCTAGTTGACCATATAGGACGATAAAAAGAAAAAAACGCAATCATGTTTGCCTTATTTTATACGCTAATTAACAATGTCCGGGTAATTCTGGGACACCCTGTACTGTAGCTCTGGCACGGTGACAAAGTTGCAAAAAAGTGACTTGAGGTTGGGTCATTCAAAGTGACCTGGTGACCTGACCTTTAAAGGTAGGAGGTTCAAACTTGCACACCATGTGTAAAATTGATGAAGGTACGTACCTATAGTCATACCAAATTTCGCGGCGCTACGCGCCGCGGTTTTCCCACTATTCGCGAAAAACCTCAGGGGGGAGGGCGGATATCCGCCCCCCCCGTCGGTGCGCGGGTTAAGGCGCACATAAGCGTCCGTTTTCTGCGAAATTGTGTGTGGCTTACGTGATAATTATCAGCATATATTTTTGAATTCACATCTAGAAGGCGAAAAAGACATATGACAAACGATGGTTCCGGCCGCAGAGTTTTGAGCTGCCGCACGATATTGTATTGCTTCACTTTTTGTGAGGTAGCAGCGGCACTTTGCACCCAGCGCGGCGGCGTTGCAGTCCCTCCCCGCCCCCTCATCGACTCGGCAGCGGTCCCACCCTCCGACTTATGACATGTTCATGTGAAGCGGCTTCCACAAACCGCGCTGCCACTGGAAACAGAGCCAGCATAAAACTGGCAGCAGTGTCACCAGGTCATGCCTGCAACATCCGATCTGAAATTTATCATCACGATTTTTAGACAACTCGTGATCGACGAGTGGGGATTTGCGCAGAAGTGAAGGGCGGGGCCATACGGGATACTGCAGCGAGATCAAATTGTGACCTTGCTTATTGCTCACTGCAAACAATACTTAAGGGAAAGTGTTGTGTGACTCTACCTCACATTCAGCTGAGCTCCCTCCAGTGAACTGAACTCCAAAGCCACCGATATGAAGGTAAGCCTTTCCTTGCTGATTACAGCCGATTTTGGTGCCACTTCTTAGTGACGATATTCGAAGGCTGGAAATACATGAACTTACTTATCTCATGGCAAAGAAATCGCTAGATAATTGAAACATAGTTGACGTATAGTAAACAATTGAATAATCTGACCAATTCCGTTTGACCATAGAATAGGTCAAATACTGAATCATTAAACTGAACCTTCTGTAATCAAAAGCTTCTGGGTTATACGGATATACTACAGAGTGCACCCATAACCCTAATAAAGCAAAATGACCCAACGTTAGTTATGTGTATGTACCGACGTCCTGTGCAGCACCCATATAAGTGCTATGGTTAAAAAAATAGAAATTGTTTACAGGATGTGTTTCGTGAGTGATGAGTCGAAAAAATCTTCAGCTTATCTTTGTTCAGGGGAGCATATAATTTTATGAGATTTCGTCTTTTTTGGCTTGGAGTTCAGTGTTGTTGAAACATATTTTAACCCAGCCTAACATATATATTGGGTACCTTCAAGTCTTCTAGGGATATGATACTATATGAGTTAGGTAAATGCACAAAAAGTAGTGATTTTATTTTGCGCTTTATATAAGCTAATGCAAAATTTGAAAACATACCGACCCAATGTGAAAAGCTGGCTTCAATTGGGCAAAAGGATTGCGACAACTTTTATGTCACAGCTCAGAATCTACAGAATCTAATGTATAAGATATTTAGCTGATAATTAATTAATCTCTTTCCATGTAATACCATTGTTTGCATTTTTTGCATTTCAAACAACAACATTCACAAAGTAGAACCAAATTATTTCTGATAACTTGAGTGAACGACTTTTTGGTTCCATAACACCTGCGTGTTTTTTTTTTGCAGCTGATTCTCCTCACTTGTCTGGTGGCTGCGGCTGCTGCCTCCGGCGGAGGAATCGGTGGAGCTTTCGGAGGAGGCGCCTTCGGTGCCTCTGGCTTCAGCCGCCTCGGAGGCATCGGCTCAGCTTTCGGAGGCAGCCATTATGGAGGATACGGACGTCGCTTCGGAGGCGGTGGAGCTTTCAGCCAGCTTGGAGGAGTTGGAGGTTTCAACCGCCTTGGAGGCATTGGTGGAGTTTTCGGAGGAGGATACGGACGTCGCTTTGGAGGCGGTGGAGCTTTCAGCCAGCTTGGAGGAGTTGGAGGTTTTAACCAGCTTGGAGGAGTTGGAGGTTTTAACCGCCTTGGAGGCATTGGTGGAGTTTTCGGAGGAGGATACGGTCGTCGCTTTGGAGGCGGTGGAGCTTTCAGCCAGCTTGGAGGAGTTGGAGGTTTCAACCGCCTTGGAGGCATTGGTGGAGTTTTCGGAGGAGGATACGGTCGTCGCTTTGGAGGCGGTGGAGCTTTCAGCCAGCTTGGAGGAGTTGGAGGTTTTAACCAGCTTGGAGGAGTTGGAGGTTTTAACCGCCTTGGAGGCATTGGTGGAGTTTTCGGAGGAGGATACGGTCGTCGCTTTGGAGGCGGTGGAGCTTTCAGCCAGCTTGGAGGAGTTGGAGGTTTCAACCGCCTTGGAGGCATTGGTGGAGTTTTCGGAGGAGGATACGGTCGTCGCTTTGGAGGCGGTGGAGCTTTCAGCCAGCTTGGAGGAGTTGGAGGTTTTAACCGCCTTGGAGGAGTTGGAGGTTTTAACCGCCTTGGAGGCATTGGTGGAGTTTTCGGAGGAGGATACGGTCGTCGCTTTGGAGGCGGTGGAGCTTTCAGCCAGCTTGGAGGAGTTGGAGGTTTCAACCGCCTTGGAGGCATTGGTGGAGTTTTCGGAGGAGGATACGGTCGTCGCTTTGGAGGCGGTGGAGCTTTCAGCCAGCTTGGAGGAGTTGGAGGTTTTAACCAGCTTGGAGGAGTTGGAGGTTTTAACCGCCTTGGAGGCATTGGTGGAGTTTTCGGAGGAGGATACGGTCGTCGCTTTGGAGGCGGTGGAGCTTTCAGCCAGCTTGGAGGAGTTGGAGGTTTCAACCGCCTTGGAGGCATTGGTGGAGTTTTCGGAGGAGGATACGGTCGTCGCTTTGGAGGCGGTGGAGCTTTCAGCCAGCTTGGAGGAGTTGGAGGTTTTAACCAGCTTGGAGGAGTTGGAGGTTTTAACCGCCTTGGAGGCATTGGTGGAGTTTTCGGAGGAGGATACGGTCGTCGCTTTGGAGGCGGTGGAGCTTTCAGCCAGCTTGGAGGAGTTGGAGGTTTCAACCGCCTTGGAGGCATTGGTGGAGTTTTCGGAGGAGGATACGGTCGTCGCTTTGGAGGCGGTGGAGCTTTCAGCCAGCTTGGAGGAGTTGGAGGTTTTAACCGCCTTGGAGGCATTGGTGGAGTTTTCGGAGGAGGATACGGTCGTCGCTTTCGAGGCGGTGGAGCTTTCAGCCAGCTTGGAGGAGTTGGAGGCTTCAACCGCCTTGGAGGCATCGGCGGAGTTTTCGGATCAGGTGGCCTGTTCCGTGGTGGGCTGACAGGCAGGCGCGGAGGATATGGCTTGTAATAATTCTAACATCCGGATAACATGAAAATATTGCCCGTCAATATGTCGACTGCAATTTATTTACAGCCGACTTTGTTGTCGGAACTGTGCGTATGTGTATGAGTTAAAGCGCCGTGCGCTTGCACTCTAAAGTATGCATGTGTCTCTGCTGTTCTTTCAGTGTTAAGTCTTGCAATAAAATTGTTGATTCTGTCGCATGTCATATCTTAACCCGCGCACCCCATCTTAGAACCGACGGGGGGGGGGGGGTGACCGTTCTCCCCCCTGAGATCTCGAGAACGAAGAAAGATCTACAATTTTTACACAGGTCATTTTCAGGTCAGGTTAACCCTCGCCGGCACAGGGGGGGGGGGGTTGATGCACCCCCCCTAAGGTTTTTCGCAAATAACTCGCGTAAAAGCCGCGCGTTTGCAAGCTTTTCGCGGTTTCAAACGTTCAAACATGTGATTTGATGTTGCTCCCATGCATTAGGGTGGGTGTCAAGGTCACCTGAAGGTCAGATCAGGTCATTGACCTTTGGTGACCTCGGGTGACCTCGGTTCACTTTTTCGAGTTTTACATGTTTCTAGGCTAGTTTTTGGAGCTGAATTCGAATTTAGCAACCATTTGAACATTTACGAAGTAGTTTTGGTGCCTTCGTAACGTGTTACGAAGCTGTCCGAGGCGGTTGACACGTATTACGAATACCCGTCACAACCCCTACCGGTTGACCTGACCTGACCTGACCCGACCTGGTCTAAATGCTTAAAGACATCATTTCTGATCAAAACTAACACGATATTCGTGATCAGCACCCCGGAAAACCGCATAGCAGCCACACTTTACGACTTTCTAACAGGTCCCGATTTTCCCGGTTTTCGGGTCATTGACCTGACCTGGAAGGTCATCCGATGACCTAGGACCTTAACCCGGCCGGGCCCGGGGGGTAATCCCAACCACCGCAGCCCGGGGGGGGGCGTTTTTCGCCCCCCCTGTCTAACTCCGTAAATAAGGGAGCTACGGAAACAAAAGCGATACCAAACGAAAGGTCCTTACGAGACGATTCTAAAACACCTAAATTTTTTGACCTCAGGTCAATTTTCAAGGTCAGAGGTCAAGGTCAAAGGCGAAAACCGGCACATGTGTAGTGATCTCAAAGTAAGCCTTCTAGAGGACGGCAGGCGGCATCAAACCGGCAAAATTGGGTGTCAAACGAAAGAAGAGAATCTGAGGATTCCGAAAATGTGCTCAAAATTAAAGGTCAAGGTCAAGGTCACGCTCAAAATTGACCTCAAACTTGGCACTTTTTCGCACATCTTGCATGCTAACTTTCAAGATGTTTTAAAATGTTTTGAGGCTTATCAGTTCCCTATTCGTGGTTCCTCTTACGATACAAGGCTGCTCAAAGGTCAAGGTCACTGAAGAGTATCCCTGCTAGAGGCTATTTCACTAATTCAAGTTAGTCATAATAAATAAGACAATTTTGCCATCCGAAAGCTCTAAATGAAGGCTTAGAGGAAAATAGATGCCAGATTCGTGATCAGCGGGTACAAATCCATCATAAACGACCTTCCATGTGTCAAGGTCAACCAGAGGTCATTCGAGGTCACATGAGGTCAACATAAAACTTGACCTTTTCCGAACAAAATATAGATCATTCGACGCGGCTTGACAAGGCAAATGCGATGGTACCACTGCCGTAGCTCTAGGACCATTTTTGTCGAAGTTATTTGCGAAAAACTAAAACCACATTTCGGGGTCGTTGACCTGACCTCTGACCTCAGGTCACCAAAACTATTTTTCTATTTTTCTCTAGGTCAAACGCTACACAACCGTGCTCGTAATTTGTCTTTATCTCTAAAACTCTATTTTTAGCAGCTATTTGAAGTTTGCGTCTGTGACGCCGAAGTTTGCCGTGCAGGGGTCTAGAAAAATGGACCTTGTGACGTCATCAAGGGGGCTAGGTCCAAAATTTTTACTTCAGAAGATGTCAAATTGATGGGAGAAAAGGTACTGAAAGTTTCGCTTTCCTATCCCTAAGCGTTCGGGAGCTATCGCAAATATTCGCCAGGGGGGGCGAAAAACGCCCCCCCGGGCCCGCGAGGGTTAAAATTGGGTATCATCGGCTTCCTCTCGTGACGGGCAACACGCTCGTTTTTTCCGCAAAGCTCTAGCTCGATCAGGGGCCAAACGCGAGGGGGGGTCGTACCAACCCCCCCCCCCCCCTTGTGCCGTCGAAGGACTCAAAATGGCCTGTGCCGGCGAGGGTTAAAGATAACGTCGCAGGGGTCAAAAAGTCAAAATGGCGGCGCTAGAAATGAAGAGTTTTTCTCGAATAACATTTGAAGAAGCCAAGCTAGGAACTAACTAATGGCACCATCGTGATCAACTCTCGTCAATCTGCATCGAATCGTATATGTGTTGACCTCGAAAGGTCAAGGTCAAATGTTGACCTCATGTCACATGAACTCAAGGTCATAATATATATCATTATATGTGCTTTGACGAGCTGAACACAATAAGACCATCCGCAAGACTGTATCTCGTTCCTGTTATTAGCAAACAACCTTTGGTGACCCTTGATGACGTCGCATGACCATACAGCTGCCCAAGAGCAAAAAAGGCCTCAAGATAGTCAAGGTTGATCGTATCTGAAGTCATTCATGGTATATTGGGCCATTCCGACGCGTTTTAATGAAGAAAAAACAGCGGGTCGATTTTCCCCCACATTGACTTATAATGGGGAAGTCAAGAAATTGACCTGACAGGTCGTAGGTATCAAAATTCCGAGACATCCAAATTGTAGCTATCAATGACCTGTAGTTATCAATGACCTTATTACATTCTGCGACTTGCAAAGGCCCCCGTCATCTACTGTAGCTCTGACACGGTGACAAAGTTGAGGAAGTGTTTTGAGGCTGGGTCATTTGAAGTGACCTGGTGACCTGACCTTGAAACGTAAGAAGTTCAAACTTGCACACAATGTGTAAAATGGATGAGGAAAAGTCATGATAAATTTCGCGGCGCTACGCGTAGCGGTTATTCCGCTATTTGCGAAGAGCATCAAGGGGTGAGCGGTTAACCGCCCCCCGTCGGTGCGCGGGTTAACCCGCGCCCCGAAGGGGGGCCGAAACGCCCCCCTGTCCTTTTCGTGGGTAGCTCCTAAACGGCTGCATATATCGCTATCAAACTTTCCGGACCACTCCGGACATCAATTTTACAAATTATGACCAACAATTTTTCAGAGGCTGTCCACAAATAACGTCGACGTCATGTTCTGCCATTTTCGACTCAAAAAAAGGTTTCGCGAGAACTGTCAGGCCTACAGCTTTGAAGCTACAGAAAAATGATCAGGGCATACAAGATGTAGAATTAAATGGGCTACAAAACTGTGATCTCGGATTTTTAAAATTTTAGGATTTCGACCCCAATCTTTATTGATATATTAGCCAAAATATCCAAAAAAGTTCTTTAAATTAAAAAAAAAACGGAACATATATTATAGCACCTACCCGGTCTTCTATCTACATACCAAATTTCAGATCGATATCTTTTTTTTGCCAAGTTATAGCGAAGAAACTGTTCAAAAATGATGGCCCCAAATTTTTGGGCAATTCTAGGCCACGTAGTGCAAAACAAAGACCACCATCAGATTCCCCGTGACTAGCTGCATCGAATCGATACCCGTTTCATGCAAAATATCAACTTTGAAATTTGATCCAATTTCACCTGACCTTGACCTGACCTTCACCAGAACGTAACCTTAACCCTCGCCCGTAAACGGCGATCTGCCACCTTCGCCCATGCAGGGGGGGGGGGTTGGTGCGACCCCCCCCTTGGCGTTTGAAAACGGAGCGTCGTAGAGCTTAGCGGAAAAGACCAACGGATTGCTCTCGCCGAGATCTCGCGATTGGTGGTATATTTTTTGGTCCTAGGTCAACATTTGACCTACTTTTGACCGGTCAAAGGTCAAATTTTCGGAAAAATAGACTTTTTTCAACTTTCCGCGGCGATTGCGGCAAAACGGTGGAAGATATCGACTTGAAACCTTCACTATCGTGTTCCTTGATCAATTCTCTATCGTTTGGTATGTATTTCGTTTCCCTAGCTCTAAAAATGGCGCGTTGGGAGCGCCGGAAGTCGGCAAGGTCACAGTCGGCGGCAGAAATTCGAAAAATCAAAATTTAAATTTTTGAAATCTGATTGTATTTTTGGATTTGGAAGGTCCATTTGCTCCCTATAGAAGCTAATATTGCTGCATATTCCCATTGAGGTGACAAGAATTAGCAAAATAGTGGTTCGGGCGCTTTTCAAAAATAGTACCGGACGCTGTTCCTCTTGTGACGTCATAGCTCCGTGACCTGACCTGACCCGGTCAAGTTTCTTATACCATATGATAGCCAATACTTGCCCCAACATGCATGGGAAGTTTCATTACGATCCATCAACCGATGTCCGTACCACCGGCAGGAAACCTCGGGCATTGGCACTCAGTTTGTGAAAATCCGGCCGGAGGCTGTTCCCTTTGTGACGTCATAACTCCGTGACCTGACATGACCCGGTCAAATTTTTTTTATCAAAAGATGCGCAAGGCTTGCCCCATAAGGTACCCAAAATTTGGCGGCGCTGCGCGCCGCCGTTTTTGAACTATTTCCGAAAAACCTCAGGGGGGGGGTTGCACCAACCCCCCCCCCTACATGGGCGAGGGTTAATTAACTGGTCCCAAAGGTTGCCTGACGACCCACATAATCGCATTTGTCATGTAAAATGGACCATAAAAATATGTATCACACGACACTTCCATAATGTGACCCTCAGTGACCTGACCTCTGTGACCTGACCTGGTATCAGTGACCTTAGATAGCAAAATGTATGCTTGTCGAATAATTCACCATCGGTGATTTTTAATGACTTACAAATTTATTCAAGTTCACAACACATTTCTTGAAATGCCTGTGAACGGTGAAAATGCGACCTTTGACCTGACCTGTGACGTCATCGGTTGGACCGAGGTCAATGAAATTTGGTCACAAGGTAGTTCCCCGGTGGGGCTATCGAACGCCGTTTGAATGTTGAAAATCGGCTGATAACCCGCGCCCCGCTGGGCTATTCAGCCATACGCGCCCTGCTGGGGGGGGGGGGCAGATTCTGCCCCCCCTGTCTAACTTCCGAACCGATGGTCGTAGAAAGACGGGGAAAACGGCAATCGAAAGCT